TGGAAATCTGCCACAACATTGGTCTCTCAGCGGATGCAGTGTGAGACTCTCCTGGGCAAGCACTCATTTTTTCCACATTTAAGTTTTCCTCTTTCCATCCAGCGAGCATTTGTCTCACAGCGGATGGAGCGAGAAAGTTCCCGGTAGAGCACTCACGTTTTCTCTTTCATTTCAGAGAGTTTTTGGTCTTACAGCGGATGCAGCGTGAAAAGCTCCTGGAGACGTAAACTACAACCGCACCTCGTTCGCAGTCAACAAGGGCCGTCAGTCCAGGCAGTGAGCCACAATCACGGGCCTCCCTGAACAAGCATCCAGTCCCCTTCTCGAGATGCCAGCCCGCCAAATCTTGGCGCTCTTTGGGGGGTCTTTAGTACGGCGGCTGTCCTCTGCTCTTTAGCCTTTTGGGGGGAGTACTCTGGGTTCGGGCAGAATTCCAAGCTCGGAGCCCTCCCTCCGGACAGCACGCCAAATACGCATTGAATCTTACTCACTCAAAATTATAGGCAAGTGTGAACTCGTGAAATAAAGTTTCATTAACTAAGTTCGGGAGGCGCACGTTCAGATAATTGACACGAGTGGACAGCAATCAGCAGCCAATGATAAAAGGGTACAAATGGACTCAGCAGTCTTACCTCGATCCATTGGCAGTTTGCAGCATCCCTCCTCCACCCCTTCTCCACACTCCTAGTTCTCCACACTCCTCTATCTAAAATATCACTTACATACGGGGGGAGTACTCTGGGTTCGGGCAGAATTCCGAGCTCGGAGCCCTCCCTCCGGACAGCACGCCAAATACCGTATTTCCCGGACTATAAGTCGCTCCAGAGTATAAGTCGCATCAACCCAAAAATGCGAGGAAAAAAACATATATAAGTCGCACTGGACTATAAGTCGCATTTATTTAGAAATTTATTTAACAAAATCCAAGACCAAGAAAAAGTTATTTAAACGGACTTTAATTCATTAAAACAGAAGGCATTTAAGTTATTCAGCTACACACAATAGCACAAAGAACAACAGGCTGAATATGTGTCCGGTATGTTGTTAACGTAACACATCAACAGTTAGCTACACAATAACATAAAGAACATACCTGAGAGGCTGAATAGGATAAAATAAAATAACATAACAAGACAGCGAGTCCAACAGTTATCGGTAAAGCAATTTCACCAAGCTCCTGCGATCTAATTCCACATCACTGAACCTGTTGAATTCTTCATCCTCCGTGTCGCTTCTGAACAACTCCGCTATTTCCGGAAGAAGATGAAGCGCCGTCTCCTCTTCTGTGGGGCTGTCGTTAGACTCGGCATCAGTTCCGGTTATTCAAGCCTTTCTGAATCCCGACAGGATGGTTTCGGTTGTCACAGTGTAACGGAGGCCAGCTAGTAGTTGCTGTGCGAGTAAACCTCACTCCCCGATCTCAATAGGCGCTCTAGCAACAGACGCTAGAGGCTGCAGTCTTTAGCCTCCTTGTTAGCGCGCCTGACTCTCATGCCGGAGACCCGGGTTCGAGGCCCACTCGGAGCGGGTCGAGTTGGACCCGGGTGTGAGGGGTTACATTGGTGCCGTGACCCAGATGAGAGTGAGGTTTAGGGGGGTGAGTGTAACGGAGGTCAGCTAGTAGTTGCTGTGCGAGTAAACTTCACTCCCCGATCTCAATACGCGCTCTAGCAACAGACGTTAGAGGCTGCCAGTCTTTAGCCTCCTTGTTAGCGCGCCTGACTCTCATGCCGGAGACCCGGGTTCGAGGCCCACTCGGACCGGGTCGAGTTGCACCCAGGTGTGAGGGGTTACAACTGCAGTCCATGCAGTGTCGACCCATCCAAGGACTTGCTGGAAAGTTGCATGGCGCATCCTCCCGGTTGCCATGAAGCTGTGTTCTCCATCCACCATCCACTCCTCTCACAGGCGACACAAGACTGCCTTGAAGCTCCGGTTCACCGAGATGTCGAGTGGTCATTTACCGTTTTCGGCTGCATATTTTATTACCTGCAGTTTGTAATCTGCAGAATATGATTTTCTTTTTGGGGGCATTTTGTTTGCGTTCAGTCTAATATTTCAGTTAATATCAGTTGTTTTCAGTTAATTTTTTTAGCGGTAAAACTACTGTAGCTGTAGTCTAGAGCGCATAGAGCGCTCTCTCGTGGCTGTAGACGGTAATGTCATCCCCAATTTCGACAAATGATGCATTCACGTCATACCATAAATACATCAAAAACTCGCAAATAATAATCTGGGGCCGTCAGTGATCCTGTGACGAGTAAATCTTGGTAATTTTGATATATAAGTCGCACCTGACTATAAGTCGCAGGACCAGCCAAGGTATGAAAAAAAGTGCGACTTATAGTCCGGAAAACACGCATTGAATCTTACTCACTCAAAATTATATGAAAGTGTGAACTCGTGAAAGATGAAACTACACGAGACCGGCGAGATACCTCCACAGGGCGGGGAGATACGCTGCATGATTGACAGCTTTGACAGCAAATGGATATACGTGGAAATCAGATGACATGATTTCACAACTTTTAATTGGTCATTTAGATAATGTAAAGCATGCTGTATACGGAAATGAACCTGGACATTCTATCCGTCAAAAAATCTCAAAAAAAAAAAATCTCCCACTGCCATGTTGAATTTCGCACCCAACGCACACACACACACACTACGTCATTGTCATCACGCCGAATGCCGTCAAAGCTTTCCGTCACACATACTCCATTTGCAGTGCGTATGCAGTGTCCTCGAAAGGGAACAGTACTGGAGCATGAAATTGAATGAACTGATTAAAGGGTTAGTTCACCCAAAAATGAAAATTAAGTCATTAATTACTCACCCCCATGCTGTACCAACCCCGTAAGACCTTCGTTCGTCTTCGGAACACAAATGAAGATATTTTTGATTAAATTTGAGAGCTGTATAACTACCACATTGGCTCCTAAGGGACTGCCTCTTGACGGCCCAGAAAGTCAATGAAGAAAATGTTTAAATATCCCAAGTGACTACCGTGGCTCAACTATATGTTTATCAAGCGAGAATTCCTTAGATTTCCACGACGCATGCGCGAGATTTGCGATCTGCTTACACCAGCTTAGATCGCAATTCTCGCGCATGCGTCGTGGAAATCTATAAGGAAGTCTCGTTCTGGCCTACAAGGAAGAAAAGAAATAGTCGAATAAACTCGTTATTTTTGTTTGTTTTTTCGCACAAAAAGTATTCGCGGCGCTTGATAAACATATAGTTGAGCCACGGTAGTCACTTGGGATATTTAAACATTTTCTTCATTGACTTTTTGGGCCGTCAAGAGGCAGTCCCTTAGGAGCCAATGTGGTAGTTATACAGCTCTCAAATTTAATCAAAAATATCTTCATTTGTGTTCCGAAGACGAACGAAGGCCTTACGGGGTTGGTACAGCATGGGGGTGAGTAATTAATGACTTAATTTTCATTTTTGGGTGAACTAACCCTTTAACAAACTGCCAATAAAATAAATTTGAATTCAGTCTACAGTTTGCATTTTATATGGCATATGTATGGAGTTTAATATACATCAAAATGGTGTACAATTAAATTTTAAAACAATAAAATGCAATATGGCTTACTGGAAGAAAAATTTGAAGATGTTTATTCCAATAAAAGGCCATTAAATGTAATTTCCATTACTTGTTAATTGCAAAAAGTCAATGCCATTTTTTATTAGGAAGTATATAATGCAGGTCCAGAACATGGCTGTCACGAAGATGGTCACAAAGAGTCCACTGTGCCTTGTGCTGACCCGGCCTAAACTGCAGAGCCTGCCACAGCCTGTGGAGAGCAGAACCAAATGGTCAGACAGCCCTGAAAATATCGCTGATATTGTGTGGCTTTCATTACTGTAAGACACAGGAATCTACCTGTTTAGTCATTATAAAGTATATGTGTTGTCTTGAAGGCAGTCTTTTTACTATTTCCTGACACACAAAACACTTATCTCTTTTTATCAGTTACTTATCTCTTGGTTTTCTTGTGCTGAATTTAACCCCTTTAGTGTCACAGGCCCACCGGTGGGCCCAAATCCATTACATTTTTAAAACAGTATTACCCTATACTAAACCTAAACTAATCCTGACAAACTATATATCATTTGAAAGCTTATAATAGTTTAGTATAGTTTTCATATTTGGTGATTGATTTTCAAAATATATTACAGAGGAGCCGTAATTTATCAATTTGCAACAAGAATATGTTTATACTCTAAGGCGTGTTTAGACCTTTATTCTGAAATTATGATGAACATGAAACCTGTTTGTTTTCATGCCAAGAGTCCAAAAGATAGCCTCAATTCAATTATTTTAGAAAAAAGGTCTGAATTTTTTTTGAAATATAAAGAAAAAAATTATAGATTCACCATTTGAGATGTGTCAGGAAGCTATAATGCACATACTTGTTTTTTTAATGTTTCTTAGAGGTTGAATTCATATCAAAATCTGCCAAACTTCTCATATTACTTCTGAATAGTATGTCTACTTCATAAATTGTATGAAAAATGTGGAAATAATTGTTCATATCACTTAAAACACATATGGAAATGGAGGTGCCCTTATATGGGCAGTAATGGAGTCTGGTTGTCATCTAGTGAAAAAGTTTGGTACTGCGCCCAAACAAAATCTTACTGAAGGCTCAGTTTTTTAGATATCAACCTAAAATTTGAAACACAACTTATTCAGATTTTAGGCTTTGATTTTCTGCCATTTTAGAGTTGCCCAGGTTTTGAAAATATATATTTTTTTTATATTGTACATTTTCATAAATTCAAACTTCTATAACTTTTTTTCGGTTTCACATTCTTAATTTATTTCACTACCACAAAAATCTGCTAAATGTCTTCTTAAAAACGAGACCAATCTTACATCTACATTACAAAGCATTCTTGAATTACAACCATTTAAGTTCGAAATGTGCATTTTCATGTATATTCAAAATAATATTGACACTTAACTCAATAACATGATTTAAAGGTCTTTAAGATTTCCCCATTATTTTTTTCTTTGTGTTTTTCGCAGGTTTTAGCAAAATTATGTAACATTTTTGGGCGAATATGCATAATAGTAAACCAAAACTTGAAGCTAAAATTGCAAATATCTGAACAGCTACAGTAAATTTCCCAGGAGAACTAACATAAGCTGGAATAAATGTGAGCCAGACAGCACAGAATATAAGCATACTGAATGTAATTAACTTGGCTTCATTGAAGTTATCAGGGAGTTTCCGGGCAAGAAAAGCTAAAACGAAACATGAGATTGATAGAAGGCCAGTATAACCCAGAACAGCCCAAAAACCAACAGCTGAACCTAAGTTACATTCTAAAATGATCTTTTCTCTGTAATAGCTCATATTCTTATATGGGAAAGGAGGGGATATTGTTAACCAAAGCACACAGATAATCACCTGTATTAATGTTAAGAAAACAACACTGAGTCTCTGTTGAAGTGGCCCAAACCATCTCATGACATTACTTCCTGGAAATGTAGCCCTGAAAGCCATTAACACCACAATTGTCTTTCCCAGAACACAAGATATACAGAGGACAAAAGTGACGCCAAATGCTGTGTGACGCAACATACAGGACCACTCAGTGGGCCGTCCAATGAAAGTAAGTGAACAGAGAAAACACAGAGTCAATGAGAAGAGCAGCAGGAAGCTCAGCTCTGAGTTGTTGGCTCTGACAATAGGTGTTTCTTTATGAAGATAAAACAGAGAAGATACAATTGCTGTTAATAGCACCCCACTAAAAGATAAAATACAAAGCACTATCCCCATGATTTCTGTATAGGAAAGGAATTCAACCACTTTTAACACACATCTGTCTTTGCTTTCATTCGACCAGTACTCCAAATCACAAGGAAAGCAGTCACTAGAATCTGTGAAGGAATATCAAGAAAATTATTCAAATGGACAGTGCATCAAGTCACTTGACCAATGGAGAGTATTAGACTTCACTTTTTACAAATATTTGTGAGAGTTATTCTGCATGTACTATTTTACCAGTGCCATTACTGATTTCTCCCTCTGCACATGGAATACAGTCATAACAGCAGACAGGTCGTCCTTTTTGCACAGCCTTCCTAGTGCCAGGGGGACAGCTCTCACTGCACACAGACACAGGCAACTATGAGGAAAAAATAAATTCACATAAGAGCCAAACGATGATTTTAATTGTTAAATAATTTGCTTGTAATTGTGGAATCATTTTTCCAGCTTTTATCTGCTTTCATATTTTTTCAGGCATTTTAATTTAAATGGCTGTTAGTCAAGTCACCATTATTTATATAGTGCTTTATATAGGGGAGAGCGGGGCACAACCTAACATATTTTGGTTTTGGCTCAATTATTAAAAACATTATTAAGTTAGATTCAACTTTTTTTTACACTAGCAACATACACATCTCTGCTACAAATGAACACTTATTTTTTTATTCAATGGCCTACAATTTTGTACTGTTGCACTGAAAGTGACAGAAGTGCAAATGTTAAAACTTACCCCATATGTGGGGCTAATTGTAACAGACAGAGGGGTTAGTTGTAACACTCTGTGTAACACACATTATTCAGTACAATTTTATTTTATAGTTTGATATTGTTTGTGTATCTGTATAGATAGATATCCATACATCCATCCCTCATCCAATCATCCTTCTATTATGGATCAATATAATTGATAGAGATATAGGAAAGGGCAGCACAGATTTGTAATAAATAATAATAAATAAAATCATAAAATATTGTAATTGCAATTGAATTAGATTAGTTTGTGGCAGCTGCATGTAAAATTATTATTATTATTATTATTATTAATAACAGTAATCATAATACAAATGAGCTTAAAATCAAAATTTAAAGGGATATTGCATTAAAAACAGGCCATATTTGTAATAAATAAACAAGTGATCAATGCACAGTAAACTAAATTTTAATTAACATTTTAAATTCCAACATTGTGAAAGTCCAACAAAGTTGTATAAATAAATACTCAAACCTGAAAAGTTGTGTGGCTCCGTTTTCATTTGATTATCATTGTACACTTGGCGGCTTAGTTGTAACACTGTGCTACAACTAACCCCGCTGTGTATTACATTTTTTAAGCCTAGCTAACAGTTGCTGTGAATTGCTGACATGTTTCAAAACAGTGCTAAGTTTAAACCAACAAGACAGGAATTAAGGCAATATAAAGTTAGATTTGGAAACGTATACACCCAACTCAGAAACCAAAAAAAAAAACCTATGATGAAAAAATTTACTTGCATGGTGTCAAAACACTCTTTGTCCAGTATCTTCACGAAATATTGTCAAAACTTTCCGCAAATTTGCAGGAGACCGTCTTCTGGCAGCAAGAGAAAAAGAGCGGAAAGACAAGCTGTTTGATCCTGAATAACTATGTAAAAGATCCATGTTAGATTTAACTCCACGTTAGGTTGTGCCCTGCGCTCCCCTACAGATTATTTTAAAGCAGCTTTACAGTGAAATTTTTTTCTGTTTTAAGAACATTTCTGATGAAATAGAACAGTTAAGATTAAAATTTGGACACAAGCTGCTGTGCCGAGAATCTTTGGTTTCTGTTTTTGTACCCTAGCCTGACTACGTCAGACTTCCTACTTCCGCTAATTTCATTTCGCTCCTGTTGTCAGTCTGAGATAGCGGCCTATCTTTCAGTTTTCCACCGGCCTGAAAACAGCCGGCCAATCAACGAACAGAGGGCGGGCTGAGAGCCGTGACGTAGCCGCTAAGCGCTGAGGAGTACATTGTAGGTTAGAGAAATCGAAAACCGAATACCGAAATAACCGCAGAAATGGGAAACAAGACACGGGATGCAATTTGCTCTGTTATGGAGAACATTCCGGGGTTTTCCAAACTGAAGCAAAAGTCGTTTACAGCCATGTTCACTCCAGTATTTCGCTCCCATCATCAGTGTTTACAGCTAGGACCGGCGCGTGCAGACGTTTTTATTTTTGCAAATCATTAACAAGGACAAATATTAGGCTACCCATTTTTCTACCCTAGGCTACCCTACTCATTGTGTATGTCACGTGACAAATGAACGTAAGACTCGGAAGCAAGGTAAAGTGATTATTTATGTTCCCTGTAAATCATTTATTACTGCATTATGATTTCTTAATTCAGAATATGATCAACATTGCATAGGTAGATGTGATCGGGGAATTTGGGTGTTAAAATTATAACATTAAGCCACTTAAATAAACAAAATGACTCAAATGACTCAGAAAATCAGTAAAATGAACTTCCTATTCATGACTAGCGAGAGCAGCGGCTCGGTCTCGCCCTTGATCGCGGCACTGCGGGGCGGCGGAAACTAAATCATTCCTGTCTCGTGAGAGCCATAGACAGTAAAGGGTGAGAGCAGGGGCTGGGGCTCGTCCTCACGGCGCTGCAGGGCGGCGGAAGCTAAATCAGTCATGGCTCGTGAGAGCAGGGCAAGCCGATGCTGCGGGGCGGCCGCAACTCAGTAATTCATATAAATAACCTAGTTTGTGAATTGTTCATTCCCGGTTGGCACACATTTTGCAGCCCTTACAAAAGCGCCGCTCCCTGTCTACAGTGGAAGTTCGATAATAGATTTGAGTTCGATACATAATGTCTCGATGCGGCCGTGTCGGCGCCTAACATACGTCATAAATAAACTTATCTGATTGGCTTATGGGTAACCAATGATTTTAAACTTCAGAGAAGCGCCCCCTTGCGAGAGAGAAAACACTTCTCTATTATGCCATTCCAGACTCTGTCTACGAAGCAAAGTGAAGTAGCAGAGTCTGGTATTACCAGGCTATTTGCACCCCCCACTACAAACAATATTAAGTTCTCCAAAGGCTTTGCTTTTCATAATTCAAACAGATATTTGACATGATCTCAATAATAGATGTACCTGTCCACTGTTTCCTGCCCATAGCACATGTTCCTGATTCACTTTAAGATGTTTCTCTGAAGGCAGTGAACTGTCATAGAGGCCCACATTCTTAAACTGCAGACTTCCATCCTCAGCTGGCTGCCAGTTCACCAGGTCATATCTTGCCACTGGATCACCACTTGCATCAAAGAAAACTTTCTCACCGGTTTTAACATTGAAGCTCACATCGTTCATGTATTCCAACACCTAAATGGAAACCAAAGAAACATTATAAATTTCATCTTGGTTTTCTTTTTTTACCCTTACATTTGTGCATATGCATACCTTTTGTGGTGTGGGGTGGTCTCCTTTGCTGCTGTTGGTGAAGGATTCAAAGTCTTTTAACATGTTATGTAGTGAATGTGCAACAGCATACACTGCAGTGTAAACTTTATGCTCTATGCGTTGCTCTGATACATCAATATATTCATTTCGCATCTCTGCAAGCCTCTCTGAGCCAGTGCAGTCACTAATGCTGCTGTTCCCAAAAGAGCACAAAAAAATTGTTTCCCAGAATTCTTTTAAAAGTTTATTTTTTGGTGCTTGATCAGGATGGACATTCATTAGGAACTCATGCAGGCCCACAATCTGAGCATTTGCTATAGCAAAACCCACAGCTCCAGAAAGGAAACTATATTCCTTTGTTTCTGCAAGATTTCGAGAAGTGATCCAGGATTCACTACCAACCCACTGTATGCCAGTGATGTTGTGTTGCGCAATTACTTTAAGGAGGATGACAAAATCTCCGAATGCCATAAAAGCCAGCACCACTCTGGCTGTGCCCTTTTTTACCACTTCTAGTGTCTTCAGAAACTGCTCTTCTGAGTCAGTTCTAAAGACAGCCTCTGCATATTCAATACAAATCCCTTCTTTTTTTGCAGCCTCCTCAAATGCTGCAATGCCATTATTACCATAGTCACTGCGACTCCTGACCGTCCCAACCCAAGTCCAGCCAAAGTATTTGAAAAGCTTAGCCAGTGCTCTGCTTTGGTAATAATCACTGGGAATTGTTCTGAAGAAGGATCGGTACCTTTTTCTGTTACTCAGACATGCACATGTGGCAAAATGACTGATCTACACACACACACAAAGAAAAGTATATTAACCAGGTAGATTTTTTCCCCACTTTTTTTTGTACTATTCAATATGTGCTGCAGTCTAAACAAAATTTGCAACATTGCTTTCTATGTACTTTTTTTTCAATGGGTACATATGACATAAAAAGAGCATATATTTATGGTGCATGTTCTAATATAACAATGGCGTTAATCAAACACTGATTCAACATAATAACAAGCAGCAGATGAGAGTTCTTACAACAGGTAAGCTGAAAGGACCAACTACAGATGCCAAGGCTATGGTGGGAGAGGAGTTTGACTCTCCAACAATTGCATGAACAGCTGGTGGTCTAAAACAAGACGTATCACTCAAAGTCTCTTCATAACCGTTCATCAAAGCCATGCCTGAGAAGATAGCCTTAGGTATTGAGCCACATGAGTCATGTATCTTATAGCCCAAAGAAACACCAGGCAACAGCTGTGTGCTGTTATTAATCTCCTCAATAGCAAAAATAAGTGTCTGAAGAAATTTAAATTCACGCAAGTTCAAGCTGTGAAAATAAAGCATCAGTCACTTGTGTTATAGTCTGCAATGAATCATCTCAAAGACATGTTCAGCTTTTTTTTTGTGAAGGTCTTACAGAGTAATTATTATACAGACCTGCCACATGTTGTTTCCTCTGGTTTGAAAGTGAAATTATGGTTTTGTAAAATAGCACTTTTGTGAAGTGAGAAAATTGCCCCAATGTTGATGTCTCTTTCTACTGAAATTAAAGGAAGGGCAGGCTGACCAAGCAGTCTACAGACTTGTGTTGAAGCTGGCAAACAAACCCCATACACCATCAGCAGCAGTACCCCATACACCATCAGCAGCAGTAACAGCAGTGACACAGTCCTCTTTGCCATGCCAGTATGCAGGGCAGGAACCTCTGAGAAAGAACAAGGGTAGTGCTACCTTTTATCATATTTGAAAATACCCTTTGGGGTTGGCATAATACATCAATTACTCTAGTTTGCTTGTTGCAGTTGTTTCATTATGGAAGAAACATATAGGTCTAGGGATACAACATTTCTACATCAATTCCGAAATCCAATTATTCAGAATGACATCTACCGATATTGGTAGTTTGGTGGTGATGTCTTGAGTTTTTGTGCTAGGGGTGTGCAGTCAATATTTGTATCTGTATGTATCTCTAATATTCGCAAAATTATTCGTATCTGTTTTAACCCTTTCACACGTAAGTTTAAAATATTCTAACTGACCCCCCAGCGTGAGTTTTTCAAGGCGACCGTTATTTAGACCTTGCCACTTTAATGTTTCCATGGTGACGCATCATTGCTTGTCACGTGACACAGCACAACCAGAACAGAGCGCGGAATGAATGATGATCTGCTTTTATGTCATTTTTCTTTTTTTTATTAAAAATATTCAAAAATGTATTAGCTATATCATGAAACACTGATATTCCGATTGTCAAATATGTGCAAGTGGATGGGTTTTGTTGTTTAGACATCTTTATAACGATCGCATTAGTTGAGCTGTATGCACGATGGACGACGCCATTTTAGATTATTTTTCAGTTCAGAGAATCGGATCTGTTGGATTTACAACGTCAAATTCTCCACTTCTCACGAAATACATGATAGTAAGTGGCTAATGAACTGGGAGAAGAATAGGGTCAAATGTTAAGCTACTTACACAATGTGTATCTGATATGAATAAAACGTGTCGTCTTATTATAATTGAAAAGACTATTATTGCCGCTTCCATAGACATCTGTGTGTATTTTACAAACTCAACATCATTGTTTTGCTAGTACATATGTGTATTTAAATGTCTGAAACCTAAAATAAACATTATGTGGTTGAAAACACTCAATAGTTGTGATATATGACAGAACTGAGTGTGTCTGTCTCTGGCTGAGCGCCAGCAAGAGCAAGTTTGAATTTAGCAGTTGCTGACGTGTGCACTGAACGTTCTAATCACACCGGTGTGATCGTACGCTCCAGGGACCAGCCAAGACTGATCACACCGGTGTGATCGTACGCTCCAGGGACCAGCCAAGACTGATCACACCGGTGTGATCGTACGCGTGAAAGGGTTAAGATGAAACAGGAAGTGATGAGCTGGTGGAACCATTTCTGATAGCACAAATCCATCTCTTTGATGTCTATTTGATGTCTATGAAATGTGAGTATTTGCAGTGTGTTGTCAAACTGATGAAGAAGTTTTCTTAATGAAGACTTAAATTTCATTATTTAATATTATGTATCTGTATTATTTTCTTTATTTAGTATTCATAATCGGTTGTATTTTCGTATGAAGTTCCCCTTCAGGGACTACTGCTGCGTGTAATCGCAATGGGAACGCCTCCAGCATAGTTCGTCTGAAGCATGAATGAAATCAGTCAATGGAGAGAAAGAGCGTCGCAGCGAGTGACGTCATCGACCAGGAAACTATAAAGCACCCCAGAATCATAAGCACACCAGCTTCTGTTACTTCAGCAGCATTTATATATATGCTCCATATACTGTACATATATATATGTCACAGGGTGACGAAGGGCGGAACTGTTTTTTTTTTTGTGTGTTGTGTATTGTTGTTCCTGTTGGGAACGAATTGAACGTAACACCCAGCCGGTTGTTTCCCATGAAAACAGTTCGGCTGGACTCCGCAAATGGGGGTAATGAGCGGCAACTGCGAGATGGGTGGAGATTGGGTGGTGGCGTTCATGAGGGGGACCATAAAGGCGGATGTTTTGGTGAAGAGAGGATCCAGAGCTGGAAGGATAGAGCGGGAAGGGGCGATACACTGCAGAGAAGGAGTCTAAAAACGGTTCAATCTGGATGGAGAAAGAGAGACAACATTAACAGAGAAGTGAGGCAGTAGGTTCATGTTACCTCATCGAGCAGTTAAGTGCCATTGGATATCCTTATCATCAAACTCAATGCTTGTAATACCTGCTGTATACAAAAGTTTGGCGAGTTTGCCCTGAAGCCTATTGAATGCTGATGTTGCCTATTGAAATCTGATATCTGATCCTGATGAAGCCTTTAATGTCAGTTGTGTGTGCGTAGTACACTTCCCATACAGTTTGGATGTGCTGGTTCATCAACTCAGGAGGAGAGAGTCGGCTGGGATAATGAGTGGAGACCTTATTCGCTGCGAGTTGGAGTGAGTTGCAGTGCTTAGTGTGAAGTGAACACTCGTTACACTCATTGGCCTGGAGTGCTGAGTCATAATTAACTAATTACTGTGTGTTGAGTGTGCGCTGTACAGGATTGTAGCTACAGTCCGTTCGGTTTGAAGATGATTTGTGAAATATTCATGCATTGCTGTTTGTTTCTCCTATTCTAAATAAGAATCAGTATCTGCTAGGGGTGTAACGGTACACAAAAATCACGGTTCGGTACGTACCTCGGTTTTAAAGTCACGGTTCGGTACGTTTTCGATACAGCAAAAAAAAAAAAGAAATGCCAGATAAATTTCCTATTTGCTTAAAGAAAAAAAATATATTTTTAAATAAATGTGAGTTTTCCTAGATCTTGAAACTTTCAGGTTTATAAATGGGGGTCATCTTTGAAGGATGAACAAATAATGTTTTGGTCATCACATTAAAAATAACATTTAAATATATATTTATTTATATAATATTTGAATTTTGAATATGAATTCTGAATATTTGAAGTGCTGGAAAAAGATGTGTGAAGTACTTGAAAGCATTTCACCATTCCAGCCAAACTGGTTCCAGTTAGTGTTACTATATTCAATCCATGGTGAATGCTGCTGGTCTGTGGATGAAAGTATTACTAGTTCATTCACGGCACAAAGTTTCTCCTGGTTTCCATGACAGCGCTGTTTGATCTAATAGAGATCTACGGTTAATAACGGAGAAATGTGAATGCATCTCACTAGATCTCACAGCGATGTTATTACCTCAGTGGCGAATTCAAATGTTTTCTGATCTCTTAGCGCTGTATAGTAACATTGTTGCTTGATCGAGATCGGCTCGCGCTGCACAGATGTTGCTGGTCCGAACTGATAAATGATCCGTGAAGCACATAATGAGTAGCGCAGTTCTGCTTTCATTACGTTTGCCATTTGATGTTGCGCAAAGTTGTGTTGGCCGCACCAGCGCGAATTTTGCCGGCAGGAAAAATGGTCCAAGCAATCGTTCGGTTTGTATGCGCACCGAACCGGAAGCCTCAAACCGAAACGGTTCAATACGAATACATGTACCGTTACACCCCTAGTATCTGCCCATTGAGCTTTTCACACTGAAGAAAACTCCTGCCGTGAGTAATTGACTATCAATGATTTGAAGAAGATTTGTGAAATATTCATGCATTTCTGTTTGATTCTCCTGCTTCAGATAAGAATTGGTTTCTGCACATTTCACACTCAGGAAAAGCATCTGCTCCATTACTTACCCCTGGTGGTGTGAAGAGGAACTGTCGTGTGAATTCCTTACAAACATCTGCTCCATTACCTACCCCTGGCTGCCCGAAGAGGAACGGTCGTGTGAATCCCTGCTAAGCATCTGGTCCATTACTTACCCCTGGTGGTGTGAAGAGGAACTGTCGTGTGGACTCCTGATAAGCTTCTGCTCCATTACTTGCCCCAGGCGATGCGAAGAGGAACTGTCGTGTGAACAGTGGCGGTTCTACCTTGAATTAAACCCAGGGCGAGACCCCCTTCGAGCGCCCCCCCCCCCCCCCCCCCAAAAAAAAAAAACCGTTGCATATTATAGGCTACTGTAAAAACTCATAATTAAAGTTGATTTTAGTTGATCATTAAAGTATTAGATAATATGGTGACCAAAATGATCACACAGAATCTTGTTCAAAATGCCTAATACACAGTGAAATCTAATTCACCAAGTTAATAATATTAAAGGTTCGTTTTAAAGGAGTGCCTTTCATCTTACTTACTAAACTTAAAAAAAGATTTTATATAAAGATAAACCTCATATTTCAGCATTTAAATCCTCTCTATAAAAAGAATGAGCCAATAAAGATACATTCCTGACATTTATAATGCACAGTAGCTTATCTTTTATTATTAATAGTAAAATTCGTACCGATTTTCCCATGGCTGTTGTTGCTTTAGAACCATGCACTCATTACACTGCGCTCTCCAACGACAAAGAAGTTTTAGTAGCTAATGTATTTCCACCACAGAAAAACGCTTGCTGAAGCTCTGCTAAAAGAAGTATTTACGGAGAACAGAAATAAACATCCAAGTGTTTGGGTGCACATGCACTCCCATACTGAAAAGTTTATGAGCGCGCGTCCTGTGAGCGCATAATGAGCGCGCTTCCCGTGCGCCTATTTGAAACATAGAGGATTTGAAATAACGACCTCGAGCGCGCAAAAGACACGATACGTGAACTAATCAGGAGATCCCCTTGACATCGCTTCTGCGCATGGCACCTTCTCAGCAAGCAGGGCGCCATTGCCAATTATTTAAATGAAATGATACAAAATAGAAAAACTTCGCGGCACAGAGTATTTTTTTAACTGCTCGTGCCGCCCCCCATGTGACATGAAGAAATGCCGCCCCGGGCGACTGCCGGTTCGCCCGTGCCTAGAACCGCTACTGCGTGTGAATTCCTTACAGGCATCTGCTCCTTTACTTGCCTCTGGCTGTGAGAAGAAGAACTACGGTGCAGATTCCTTACAAGTATCTATTCCGTCACTTAACTCTGGCCGCCCGAAGAGGCCCCGCTGCGTGCATCCATTGCTGGTGCCTGCTCCATCCCGCACCCCTGGCAGCCAGGAAGAGCCATCAACATCAACTCCCAACGTTTGTTTGGGAGTGCAGCACAGCTCTCGAGGGGGCTGATTGTGAGCATTGTTAGTGTCTTCCTATGAGGATATTTCACTCTCGCCGATCGCTCTTCGAA